TCAAAGTGGCCAGACAAGCTGCATAGGGTTAGATGCAGCATGAAGCGCTGACTCTAAATCTGTCTTCTTTATCTGCTTATCGCTTTTCTGGACGAAGTTATAAGCTATTAAAAACCATTATTTTGCTTAAATATTATGCGTGAAATTGAAAATTTAGTCGTACAGAGCCTCGTTCGCCTCAATGCTGGGCCAAAACATGCAGCTAGCTTACCTAAAATTTCTGAAGCCAGAAGCCGAGCTAAAAGTGCAACAATGTGCTCGAATTCGCTGTTTTAATGTATGATTTTTTCACAATAAAATCGCTTGTAGCTTCGTCCGCAGAAGCGGGAAGCAGATAAGGAAGACAGATTCGAAGTCAGCGTTTTATACTCCATCGAATGATATACAGCTTGTTTGGTTTGGCCACTTCGACTTCTGACCATTCCCTTGTTAGACCAGTTTTGAACCGTGACCCTCGCTTAAAACGCAGTTGATTTCCGTATGGCCTAATCCACACGACTGCATTTTTCCTGGAGACACGCATATTTTTCATATTTGAAAGCGGTCTGCATGATCAATGGCACAGTCGACACTGCGCTGAGACGCCTCAAAAGCAGTGTTTGGGCAAGAACTCGATTCCCAAAAAATTCATTCGAAAATCGACCTTAGAGAGAGTGAAAAACGGCGAGGATGTGCGCATTCCCAAAGTCTTACATTCGGAATAGGACGGTTCTCTTCAGAGCTGAGACACAAAGTCGCTGCAGAAACCAACGACCTTGATGTGGAGGCATGCGTACTCTGCCAGTGTGTGAAGTCCCGTCCCATAACGTTAATGTGCCAGTTTCCCGACCATATCTCTTAGTCAAACGTTAAGGCCTCGCACTTACGCGATGGCATGTCCGAAACCATTTTCGCATAACAGTGAAATCCCAAGTCCCCACCTTGTCTGGACACTGCCTTCAAATCAAACCAAGCTGCGCCCCAGCCGTGCATGACGGGGTTACTACGGTCCTGCAATGGTCAAAAAAAGCAACGGTTTATTTACGAAAAATTTTCAGAAAATAAAGTTTGTACTATTCCTTTTTTACTCAGTGCTGCTTTCCCAACCGAAGGCGTTCAAAATGCGCACGAGATCATCCGGTACGTTTCCAGCCAAAATGACCTTGTGGGCTTTTGAAATCCTTTGGTTTACAAGTTCTGCATATATGCAAGAAACTTCACAGAAACGTGCAGACAATGTTACTAAAAAGGATTAGAAGCTATCCTGGAATATGTTGATGAATTTCGCTGTCGACTGAAGTGGTGTCTCCGAGTAACGAATGCGATTATTTCCTGCACAGCAATTCCACCAAGAAGAGTTGTTTTTGAAAGAATGGGTCTTCTCAGACAATCAAAGGCTCTCAGCCGGCCCCAAAAGCTCTGAGCAAGCCGCCATTGCCTTATTACCTCACTGTCGCTTCTCACTGAGAACTTTGCTAGAACTGGCAGCAAGCGGGTATAAAGTCTTCAGCGCGAAGCGAAAGTGGCGGCCGTGCCTTATCGCCGCCACTTTCGCTTCAAAATTTCACAATACGGTAATGCCTGGAGAGAATAGAGAAGCTTGTCAAAATTTCACATTACGGTGCAATGGCTGGAGAGAATAAGAAAAGAAAAATGACGTTTGATATGAAACTAAGTCGCATAAATTTAAACTTTTGGAATCATGTAGAAAAGGTTAGTGTAACCAGTAACAAAATTCAGTGGTCGAAATTTCATGGTATAGCAACGGCTCTTCACTTTTCTTTAACTTTAATATATGATTTAGAACTCTTTGCTCATGAGGCAGCAATCTGGCCAGAAGTATGTTTCCAAAAGCGAAGACTGAGCTAGATCGATTGTCTTCTTGATTTACCGTTATTTATCACAAAGTTTCCAAAAAAAGCTGCTGAACTCTGCATTCTCTCGCAATATGCAAAAAAATTATTGGAAAAATTAAAAACATTACTTATATTTTCCTTTGGCGATTATAGTTTTTGGTTGCTTCCATATTGTGAAGTTTCACTCCAAGAAACTCCCTTTGGTTTTGATGTTAGGTTGGAAGTATAAGGAGGAAACATTGTGAAATTTGACAGATTTGGCTGAAACTTGGCAAAAGGGGATTATTCGACATGCTGATCACGGAAACGATAGTAATGTTGTGTGATAGGGGTATTTTTTGAGGCTACTGTAGCTGTACGATAAAGACACCCTAAACAATGAAGGAGGCTTTGATTCAACAAATGAATATGATATTCATGTTTAGCAGGTCAAAGAACTTCAACATGTAAAGTCTTGGGGAATTCTGTGGCTCTGACTCCTCATTGTCAGTCATTGACGGCTCCAGCAGCCTTACGCACAGCGACTCACTCAAATTTGTGAGGGCCCGGCTCAACACTGGGATGGCCTTGTGAGTAAGTATATTCAACACCACTCAAAAGCTCTCAGCCGACCCCACCAAAAGCTCTGAGCAAGCCGCCATTGCCTTATTACCTCACTGTCGCTTTTCACTGAGAACTTTGCTAGAACCGGCAGCAAGAGGGTATAAAGTCTTCAGCGCGAAGCGAAAGTGGCGGCGATAAGGCACGCTGCCACTTTCGCTTCGCGCTGAAGACCTTATAGCAGCCCGCTTGCTGTCAGTTCTAGCAAAGTTTCTCGAGGGAAGCGATAGTGAGGCAATGAGGCAATGGCGGTTTGCTCGGAGCTTTTGGTAGGGCCGCCTGAGGGTCTCTGATCGTCTGAGTTCCTTCTGATCAACGCCAGCTCGACCAACTTTTAAGTAAATGGGCGATGCTTTCATAAGCGTGACGCAAACATAATAACCATGGATTTCCATAGCACATTTGGTGTGAACCAAGTGTCTCGTTGACGATAGTGGTGTTGAATATACTTACTCACAAGGCCATCCCAGTGTTGAATCGGGGCCCTCACAAATTTGAGTGAGTCGCTGTGCGCAAGGCTGCTGGAGCCGTCAATGACTGACAATGAGGAGGCAGAGCCGCAGAATTCCCCAAGACTTTACATGTTGAAGTTCTTGGACCTGCTAAACATGAATATCATATTCATTTGTTAACCAACTCCTCCTTCATTGTTTAGGGTGAGACCCTCTATCGTACAGCTACAGTAACCTTGAAAAATGCCCCTATCACACAACATCACTATCGTTTCCGTGATCAGCATGTCGAATAATCCCCCTTCGCCAAGTTTCAGCCAAATCTGTCAAATTTCACAATGTTTCCCCCTTATACCATATACCTACCGTAACCCTCACTCCGGCTCAGAATTCGGTAGAACAGCAGCTGAGCTTGTAGCTTACGTCATAACCAACACAGTGGCAAAATTTGAGTGCGTCATGTTGAGTGAGAGAAAAGTTATTGGAAGTTGCAAAACTTAGTTTCCAACTTAATATTAAAATCAGAGGGAGTTTCTTGGAGTGAAACTTCACAATATGAAAGCAACCAAAAACTATAATCGCCAAAGGAAAATATGAGTGCTTTTAGGTTTTCCAATAATTTTTTTGCATATTGCTAGAGAATGCAGCGTTCAGCAGCTTTTCTTTGGAAACTTTGTGATAAATAACGGTAGATCAAGAAGACAATCGATCAAGCTCAGTTTTCGCTTTTGGAAACATACTTCAGGCCAGATTGCTGCCTCATGAACAAAGAGTTCTAAATCATATATTAAAGTTGAAGAAAAGTGAAGAGCCTTTGCTATACCATGAAATTTCGACCATTGAATTTTGTTACTGGTTACATTAACTTTTTCTACATGATTTCAAAAGTTTAAATTTATGCGACTTAGTTTCATATCAAAAGTCATTTTTGTTTTCTTATTCTCTCCAGCCATTGTACCGTAATGTGAAATTTTGATGAGCTTTTCCTATTCTCTCCAGCCATTGTACCGTATTGTGAAATTTCGATGAGCGAATGACGCAGAAGCACATGATTTCGTTGACAGTACCTATGACACATCTCTGAAACGCTATGAGCTGATAATGAGTAGAGTTTGGTGTCAAGCTGTTTGCTGAAGGTATATAAACAATGGACAATGCGCCGTCGGCCTGGATCACTTTTCCAGCGCAGCATCATTCGCTCCTTCACTACGATTTTTCATCAGCTGTACGACTTGGTAAGTCCGAAAACCCCAAAATGAGATATTCGTTTTTGTCTAGCGCTCTTCCCTTTCTCTATAATAAGACCAGTTGCACAATTAAGTTTTCAAAGTGTTTCCGAATTTTTTTGGTTTTCTCTTTTGAGACGCAGACGAGCAGCGGAGACAGACCAGAGCCGACGGGGCATTTGGCTCTGGTCGTAGATCTCAGCGGGGTCTCAACGAAACCCTGCAACATTATATATCATTGTGATCGTCATGACACGATGAGGAGAACTGACAACATCCCAAGCTTTGAAAATCACTCATTAACGAGATAGACCAGCGTATTGCGCGATTCTCTGCGCAAGAATTAAGCGCAGTTCCTCGTTTTTATTTAACTCCAATAGCTTTCCTAAACTTCTGAAACTCTATTTTGGTCAAATTAGAAGTTGACTGAGAAGTACTGTCTTGAATTCCGTCGAAAATTGTACAGAAACCTTCTTTTTGACGTAAAAAACGCTATGAAAACGCAAATTCTTGGTTTCGCTGAAATAAACTAGAGATATTATTCCCTATATTTGCTTCATTAACATACGTTCCGATATAGTCAGGATAATAACATCCAGGGCGAATCCCCGGATGACTTCTGTTTATTTCCAGGTGAAGGTTGTTTCCCTCATAACCCTCAAAGTAAGGTTACCAGAGTACGTGGCTCTATGTACCGAGGGTATGCAGGGTACGATGCTATGTATTCCGAGTTACCGTAGCCTATGGCATCTGGTCCAGCCGATATATCAATTTCTGGCCTAATACTGCTTGTATGAACTTTGCTTGAACATTAGATATTGTTTTTTTGTTGGCTGTAAAAACAAGAAAATCACTATTTATTTCTAGATCTGAGGTAGCGTACTCGTTTAGAGACCAGAGTGGATAGCCTTGGCGAAACCGATCCGCTTCTGGCCAATGTCGTAGATGTTGCAGTAAGTTCGAATCCAGGTGTCTCCAAGAATCCAGGTTGGTCCAAAACCTCCAGCGCCCATGCTGAAGAAGGTCAACGCGCACTGAAACAGTTTTCTTTTAGATTTTTCGAATTCGTTTGAGAGTTTGCATACCTTTCCATTTCCTAGCTGGAGGTCAAGCACGTATTCGACGGATGGGACGTTGTAGGTCACACCATTGATGGTGAAAACAAGGTCAGGTAGGGTTTTCTGAGCCGAGCATGCGACGGTGTAGAGTTCGTTGAGGTTATCATACACGGCTCCGGTCTGCTTGACTATGCCGTTGATGACGGAGGTTGGGGCTCCGATCCATGAGGTACCGGTGTCAGAGATGACCTAAAGAAAATCATAGCCAAGATTTTGAGAAAGTTGATCTACCCACCTGATCTCTCTTGTTCTCAGAAAAGCCTCCAATGGAAAATCCGGTGATGGGAAACTGCCAGTAGGTCTCAGCGGAAAGGGGAACGTAGTTCACTTGCTTTTGGCAATTGGTGGTGTCGATGGCTCCGTAAGTGATAAGTCCAGCGTTTCCACCACTGCTGAGGGTCAGCTGAAAATTCAGTGTTTTTGGAGTTCCTTTACCCAATCAAGTAACTCCAGACGTACCTTTCTGTCCATCCATACGGTAAAGAGAGGTTGATCAAGGGTTGAAAGCAGGTTTTGCATTGGTGGAACGACCTGCACGAGTCATATCAAGTAACCTAATTAAAGCAGAGGGCTATAGCTGAACTGACCGCGTCAACAGCCAAAGCGGGCCATCCAAGACCAAGAATTCCATCTACTGGCTGATAGCCAAAAACTTCGGCGAGATGAGTAGCAACACCGAATTCTTGGGTCTTGACAGTAAGTCCTAAAAATCAGCTTTCTCACCGCTTCTCAATTTATGTGACAAATAATTTTCAAAAAAATTTCTCTAATAGTTTTATAAAACGTTGTACATAATTGAGACTCAATCTGAGCCGCGTTTCAAAAACGATAAAAAATGACTATGTATTGGAATTTTCATCATTTCTTTTCCCGCTAATTGGTTTTGAAAATTTCCTGCTATTTTATTTTTACTTCAATCTTTTTTATTCAAAGCCGGAAGATATTTTGCGGGTTACCGAATTCCTCTCTTTACTCCATTTTTATCAATAACAAACTATTTTTCGCGCTTACTCGCCCAAGTGCTACTCTTGACAAATTTCAAAAATTTTTTAATGATACTTACCTCCCATAGTGATGGTATCAGTGCCAAGGTATCCATTGCACGATCCAGATCCGTACTGGATCGAGAAAGTACGAGTTTCCTTCTTGAAAGTGGACGACTTGGTGGTGTCGAACTTGTGCTTGGTGTAGCCACTGTTTGGCTCACCATTGCAGGCGGCAGTCTTGCAAGCTGCATCAATTACCCACAAGTTGGAAGATCCGGTATCCAAAACGAGGGTGGTGGTTTGGGCTGAATAAAGAAAGCGATTTTTGTGAAGTTTGAGAGACTAGACGCCTGATATAGTGTCTTTGCGGTGCCGACAACAACTGGGCGTGAAAAATAGACGAGGATCTTGAGGATGGCGTCTATAGCCATCTTATACGCGTAAGTTTTGTCGGCACCGCAGTTTTACTGTATTACCCTCAAGTTATTATAATTGCGCTAAGGATAGATATGTACTTACGAGGGGTTCCAAGTGTGACATTTCCAAGGTAGAAGTCATCATAGTAGTCAATGAATGGCTGTGATCCGGTGGCAAGGATTTGAGCTCTTCGCAAATGTTCTTCCTCGAGGAATTTGTGGTAGAGGTTGGCACTAAAATTGGAATACGCTATAGGTCAGAAGATTACGGTAGGAGCGTAAATATCAGTAAAGAGGAACGCACTTCGACGTAACTCGAAGACAGAACTTACGCGATCAGCCTGGCACGAAGTGATCCAGCAGATCTAGTCTCCATCTTGAACGTTTTTGCGAAGAGCACTGCCACAAGGGCCGCAAGGACTAGGATGGTCTTCATACCTAGACGAAATTTTGAATATTTCCAAAGCCTTCAGGAAAACAAATTTTTTGTAAGGATGTGCTTAGGTGGTAGCAGACGCCAAGACGTCTCCCTCAAGAAGAAAACCGGCACAATTTTCTAGAAAATTCGTCACAAAAGATGGTTCTTAGTTTCGAAAGGATTACGTTTCTCGCAAAAAGAGGTAGGCTTAGGGTACAAAAATTACGACGGCCAAAGTGAAATCAAGCCCTCTCGCATCTTTTTATAGAAAAGCATCGAGTGTTTTCTTATCTAGGCGAAATTCATTTATTTTATGTGAAGACTTGCGTCAGGCTCTTGATAACGCCCTATTCGATAAGAAAGTTGGTTGCTTGCTTGTACGACAAAGCGCTGAACGAATCTTCTTCAAGTTAAAATTAAAGAACTCATGGGAAGAGTGTTACTGTAGCCTAGGGAGGGCTACAGTGAGTGGGCCATTCCAGGCATGCCTTTAAAAGTAAGCTCGGTCAGAACTCATGGAGGGAAACTGTGCCATTCCGGAATACACAAGCCAAAAATGAAAAATCTCGGATTTCGCTAATTTGTACATAGGGGTTATTTGACATGCTGATCGCGAGAATGATATTCATTTCGCATAGTGGGACCTTTCAAGGGATTACGGTAGGCACGCGGTCTGGGGTGAAAACCTTAGATCTTGCTAGAACTCTGCACAGAGGGGTTATTCGACATTCTGATTACGAATATCACAACGGAAACGTCTCCTGTATGTTTGCGGTAGGTGTACGGTAGGGGATCAAAATCGTTCGACTGGAATGTGGGCTAGAGGGGTGATTCAGCACTTTGAACATGTTTATATATCAAATTCGCGAGGCAGCGCCATTTTCTTGGGTTGCGATGGTATGCGTTAGTTGGGTCAACGTCCCAAATTTGCCCAAAACTTGCCCTAGAGGGTTTCAAGAGCATGCTGATTGCGAATATCACGCTTGCTCACTGCGATAACGCCTGACTGTGGAGTTACGGTAATCTGCAGCTTATAAATAGGCACTGTTTCTGCTTCTCAGGCCAATCTACATCTCGCAAATCACAAAATGGCTTTATCATGCGAATTGAGCGCGATATTCGTGATCAGCACATCAGATAGCCCCTTGCACTAAGTTTCAGGCAAGTCTACGATTTTTACCCTTTACCGTAATACCTACCGTAACTCCACGAAAAAGTCCCAAAATGCATGAAGATCACGATATATGATTAGCATCTCGAACAATCCCTCCAGCCCAGACTTCAGCCAAATTTACGATTTTGACCACCTACCCCACCTAACCATACAGAAAGACGTTTTCACTGTAACCATACAAGGAGACGTTTTCATGCGAAAAAAGCGTGATAATCGTCATCAGCATGTCGAATAGCCCCTCTCTGCAGAGTTTCTGCAAAATCGAGATCTTGGCCATATACTATAGGCCTATCGTAACCTCTAAAAAGGCCCTATCATGCGAAATGAGTATCATTTTCGTGATCCGCTCATGAAATGACCCCTATAGAAAGACTGTTAGCGAAGTGAAAGATTTTTAATTTTTGGATTGCGTACTCTGGAATGACGCCGAAAATTCAATCTTTTCTAAGCTTTTTGCCAATATCAGACCTATACCTCTGGGCAGAAGAAATTCTCATTCTTCACTAAAAAATTGAGGAAAATATCTTGATTATCGCTACAATTAGTCTAATCGACCGTTTCAAGCTTATTGCAGGTCCAAACGCTTCTAGTCCTTGGAGTAAAAAAAAAGATTGAAAGGCTCTAGCAAAGCCTTTTCCCAGGCCATCATTGCGAGAAAGGACCTGCCAAAAAATCTCCGCTTTTTTCCCAATACTATAACAAAAAGCTATTTAACCGTTTGAAGAGAGTATTGACAAGAGTTCACAATGGCTCCACGCTAATGATAGAATAAATTGCCTTTTTTAGTCAGGTGACGTCACAATAATTCGACTGAGGAAAGAGCTGTCTTAATAAAAGATTAGAAAATTAGTTCAATTATAAACTCGACCTTGCTTCCCAAAGTGATTGACTTTTTTTTTTCATAAACTCTGTAGTGCAAAAAGGCTTGGGCTCATTGTCAGGGAAGTTATAGCGCATTTCATTAGCATAGTTTTCGTTATCGCTAGCCACGTTGAACTATCGTAAAATGGTTACCGGAACTTTGATAAGAGCACATGCTCTCAGTTTCAGATATAAAAGATGCCAGATGAAGCAATCGTTTCGCTATGAGCTGTTACGTTTTCAAGACGCCAACATGGTCAACATTTTGCAAATTTAGTTTACTAAATATCATGCATTTCCTATTCTTTCCCGAGAGTGTGGTTTCTATTATAATTTCGTGTCAGTTCGCCAAAAGCAGATTTTTTCTCTTTTAGGTATGAAGACCATCGTTGTGCTGACTGCCCTTGTGGCAGTGCTTTATGCTAAAACTTTCACGATGGAGACTCGCTCCACTGGATCTCTTCGTGCTCGTCTTATTGCGTAAGTATTTATATTTCACTGCAGGACGAAGCCGTTGTCCATTTAAGCTAAGCGGTTGCGGGAGGCCTCTTGTGAGATGAGAGCCAGAGCGCACCAGTGATGTTACTGCTGCGTCGCAACCGCATCGCTCATGCATACTCTCGACTAGGACCATTCTCAAACCCTTCAAAATTTCAGTGCCAACCTCTACCAGAAATTCTTGGAAGAGCAACATCTGGCTCGCACACAGGTTCTTGCCTCAGGATCTCAGCCATTCATCGACTACGCTGATGATTTCTACCTTGGAAACGTTACCCTTGGAACTCCCGGTAAGTTGACTCCAAGAACTCACTTCACAGCTGAAGTCCTTTTTTCAGCCCAGACCACCACACTCGTCCTGGATACCGGATCATCCAATTTGTGGGTAATCGACGCCGCTTGCAACACTGCCGCCTGCAATGGTGAGCCAAACAGCGGCTACACCAAGCACAAGTTCGATACCAAAAAGTCGTCCACATTCAAGAAGGAAACTCGTACTTTCTCGATCCAATACGGATCCGGATCGTGCAATGGTTACCTTGGCACCGACACCATCGGCTTTGGAGGTTAGTTCACCGTAACCAGAAATTACGAATTTGACAAAAGGGCCAAATTTCAGGGCTCACCGTCAAATCGCAAGAATTCGGAGTTGCCACCCATCTCGCCGATGTTTTCGGATATCAGCCAGTTGACGGAATCCTTGGACTTGGATGGCCAGCACTTGCTGTCGACAAGGTAAGATTTTGTCGTACTGTAGCCAGAACGCAAAAGTGTGCGGTTGCACAGTTGCACGTAATTTACGGTGACATTTAAATTGAGTCAGTAGTTGTTTACTGTAAACAATGATGTTTGTTGAATTGCCAGAAATGCGTATTTTACAACAGTGGGCGCGCCTGCTGTGCAATTACATACACTTCCCTGTAGACTCAAAGCCGTTGTCGGCCCGGACATCTGCGTCGCTTATCTATGGGCGAATATGGGCGCGTATGTGTGTAATTGCACACATTTCCAAGTTTAAGCTCTATCTAGGATGAAGGCTGAAAATTTAACTTTGTAAAGCGAGCGCGATCGGAGCAACGGCTGGTCGGGCTGCTAACATCATCTGGAGCGCAGAAATGTACACAGTATTGTGCGATAACCGCCCACGCACCGCGACGCGTACGCTTCGCTCGTTCAAATTCGCCTTCGTGCGGGATCAAACTATGCCTGTTCGATACTCCTTATATCGTAAAGACAAACTACTATTTATAGGTCGTCCCTCCCATGCAGAACCTTCTTCCCCAACTTGACCAGCCCCTGTTCACCGTCTGGATGGACAGAAAGGTAATTTTAGCTTTTTTTAATAAGTTTAGAGGACCAAATAATAGTTAAAAATTGAAGTTTTAAATTTGCAGTTGACAGTCAGCAACGGTGGAAATGCCGGTTTGATCACATATGGAGCCATTGACAAAAAGAACTGCGATGCCACAATCAACTACGTCCCATTGTCTGCTGAGACCTACTGGCAATTCCCCATTGCTGGATTCTCTATCGGAAGCTTCTCTGAGACCAAGAAAGAGCAGGTGGGTGAAACTTTCTCCAAGTCCCTTAACTTTACAGCAGCAGAATTCCTATAGGTCATTTCCGACACCGGTACCTCATGGATCGGAGCACCAACCAGTGTCGTCAGCGGAGTTGTCAAGCAGACTGGCGCCAAGTACGATTTCGTGAACGAACTCTACACCGTCCCATGCTCGACCCAAAAGACCCAACCCGACCTTGTTTTCACCATCAATGGTGTCAAGTACAATATTCCCTCGGTTGAATATGTGCTCGACCTTGGTCTTGGAAATGGAAAGGTACTGTAGAGATTTTCCATACAGTACTTGTACCGTATCGAAATTTATTCCAGTGCGCCTTGACCTTCTTCGGAATGAACTCCGGTGGATTTGGCCCAGCATGGATTCTTGGAGACACATGGATCCGCACTTACTGCAACATCTACGATATTGGCCAGAAGCGAATCGGTTTCGCCAAGGCTATCCATTCCGGACTCTAAAGATTATGTGTACCTCAGTTGTAGATAATAAAGAAATAATCCTATGTTGAACTGCCGGTAGTCCACAACATCGAGAAAACGCTAGGGCGCAGTGAGATAATTCCAAGTGCCACCACGAATAATTTAAGGAAATCAAAATCATAAAAAACACATTTAGAGCCATGATACAGTCATTTAGCGGCCACTAGCATTTAGGATTGCCTGATCTACTGATGATAAGTTCAGTTTTATTACTGACCCGAAGGAATGAATGTCAGTGCCAATCGGAGAAAATTTATCTAAATTTATCCTGGTTTGAAAGGAATCTTTGATATATTAGCTCAAGAACGACACATTGCCTTCAGTTTCCAGGATTTTGTTGCTCATACGAGACATGAACGAGGAAGTTGTTTTTTTGCGCGCAGAAAATTTAGCATCAAAGTCTTAAGTATAATTTCGAAAGTACAAAATAGAGCTTTGATTTGATTTTGCATAGCCGCATCAGAACTCAGAGCTGATCGTTATTAGCACACAGCCAGAATTTTAGTACTTCAAGACAAAGCCCATTCTATCACAAATCACAAAGTGATGATATACCGCAAGAAAAAGATTTAAAGACTGCGCTCCACAGAAGCGATTAGATTGCCAAGAAGATAGCGTAGTTTTCTATATGCATGCCATGGCAGTATGAACCTCTGGAAGTAAAACCATGAGTTTTTCTCCTTTTGCAAGCGATAGTTTTCAAAAAATACCGAATTTACGTTAAAAGATCTTGAAAAAGCTTACTTTGGCCGCTCTTGGCTCGCCTTGATTTATGTTTCTCTTTCCAGCTATAGAGAAAAAGAAAATTTCCAGATAAATATCAGATGTAGAGAGTATGTGCCTAAACAAATAACAAGCTTGTAGAACTTTCTTGATGGAGACGATTTTTTCGGAAACTGGATCAAATTTGGAGCAGATATTTTAGTGCCTTCTTGTAGAGCTTGCTTCATTCTATTGAACATTACCCTTCATGCGTTTTTGCGGTTCGAGCAAATAAAAAACGCATTTTTTCTTGTCGACCTAGTAGCATGAATTTCTGATTTTAATTGCTAGAATTTCATCAATACCACGAAAATGTATCAAGGAGAATATAATGACATATCGTAAGCGAAGACGCGTAAAGCTAGCCTAGAAATTCACCCGTTTTTTATCACTTCCCTGCACTGATGATAGTATACATTTCTACCAATCTTTCTTCCTTCCCCTACTCCCAACGACGATCTGCCGAGCAGCGAGCCACCGATATGCCGACCATGCTCACCCCTTATTCGAACTACTGCAAAAATTCCCCTCCCCCCCCCCCAAATAAAATGAAAAGAGTCGACCGCACTTATTTTTGCAAGTTGGTCTTGCTATAGCTAGCGACTTCTTGCGAAATAGTGACATACTGGTGAGTGCATGTTTACAAACGCTGATCGCGTGAGACCCGTAATATTTCTGTTTCATCGTTGCACTTTTGTGACTGTGTGACTTCGCCTGGGTAGGGGAATGAACTCCGCCGGTATGAGCAGCCTTCGCGGACTACTGGTCCTGCAACGACACAACAACATTGCGAAAGGATCAGTTGCCAGCGAAGGCGGGCTGAAACTGGCGTTCGTTGTTCCCCTACCCACTTCGCCTCGTTTTGTACCGCCATTAGCCGGCTACTATGGAACCTAACTATTCGTGGGACAGGTACGATGTGGTGCTGGAAGTTGGTGGCACTAAGTTCCGAACTTCTAAGAAAACTATCAAAGGCGTATTTGATGGCGGGAGATTTCGTGAAAAAGTCTCTAAGGTAAGGTATGACCTTAACAACGCCTAGAATTACTGTGCGCACTTGTAGGAGTTCAATCTCCTCTACAGCACGATCTGCATTGATCGTGATCCAAAGGTCTTTGGCTGCATACTGAATTATTTGCGTGACGGAAATGTAATCGTTCCTCGTGATGGATGTATTCTTGCGCAGATAAAACATGAAGCTAAGGTAAGCTTAGAATTATATTATTATAGCAGGTGGTCTCGAAGCTTCTTATGTTGCAATCGTTGAAAAAAATGCTCCTTGGTCCAACGTTCTTTGCACATTGCCAAGACAAACTTGAAGTGGTAGTGGGGAAAAAGGGTTGAGCAATTTGTGTAGAAGACAACACTAACTATTAGACCCCAGTGTCCTATACATCATTCTTGTAGGTTATTGGGAAGATCTTACTATTGTAGCAAATCTATAGCTGTGTCTGAGAAATACTTTCGGAAAATATGACTGCGATTCAACTCAAATTGCTGTAGGGAAAGTTTTTGCGAGACAAAATTCAGTCGGATAGTAACACTCAGAAACTTCTAAAGAATATATTAAGTAATAGATCATGATGTGTTTACACTGCTCTTGAATGAATAGCTGCTAAAAAGAATGTTGTATGTTGGTTTGTATCGCAGTTAGTCGTTCATATTCTGAGTTGTTTGAGTAAAAAATGAATTGCAACTGCTACCAACTTCGCAAATTGAGTGGGAAATTTTCTAGGTCCAGATGATTTTTTGTGGTAGTCATGTATCGACTCAACATGTGCAACCTTTTCAGTTCTATGGCATTACCGACCTTGTGGAGAAAGTCGATGCGATTCTGAAAGATTTTAATTCGGGTTATCTCCAGATCTAGCACAAAGATGTTTGAAGAAGTGTGTGACTGGCCCATGTTGATTTGCCATGTGACAATGCCTTCAGCATTTGCAGTTGTTGTTCTATCTTATTCTTTTATTCACATGTCAATAAATAGTTGATCGGAGCCTACTCGCCTTCCTACATTTGAGAAAAGGTAACTTGAGTTTGCGTCTTCTTGGAACGAATTTGAGAGGATATACTTTCGTAATGCAGCCATGCGCAAGACACGCGAGAAGGCGGTACGCCCAAATGGAAAGATAAACTGAACAAACATTTAGTGCATTTTGCGCTGACTTGCCTAGTGTAGAGAGTGATCGGGAGGTTCCAGCTGGGTCATCATGCAGGAGGCATCTTGTATATTTTATCTGTGGCTAAGCGTCCTCAGGACGTTGTTTGGTTCACCAAGGAGTACGGTAGTGGCTGAGAATTCTGGAGTTGACGTGAATTAGCCGCATGAGCTGTGGCAAGTCACTGAATAATTTTCAGCAGACAATGGAATAGTGAATTCAAATAACTGGAAAAATTCGACTGCTCAGACACTCGACTAGTCGAATATTTTAGCGAGATTGTTGATTCGGCTGTAGTCGAACAAATGAAAGACACTTGATCGAGTTTATCTATTCGAGAGTCGAATAGGTAAAGTGGGAAGCTATCATTCGAATATCCAAATAGTCGAGCAAGTGATAAGTGCATACTCGCGAGAATAAGATACGATCAAACTAGCATTCTTCCTCTCTCTAACTTCCTAATGTTTGAATCATCACGGATGCAAGAATGAAGCGTCTTCGTAATACTACTACTTTGATACAGTTACTTACTTGATCAAATCTTATGCTAAATACAGTTGAAAGTACTGCGCCAGAGCTTAAAGTGCGAGTGAGGGCAGAGTTAACTAGAAAAGTAGCAAAAATCTCCTGATGAGTGACAGCTTTACCGCATCTCATATTACTGTATTATGTTTACGATATAGTAGGCATTGAACGTCAACGGAGATTTTGCTTTGCTATGCGCACTAATGCGATACGGCATACCATTGGATACACTAAGGCAAGACTATGATGATTATGATGATGATCCAAGAGATGATAGCAAGTGTGAGCATAATGTGAATTTTATAGTAGTAGTTAGATTTTCAGAACCTTATATAGTGGCTAAACCCACATCCCTCGCCGCTGGGGTCATTCCTTGTGCTCCTATACAGTGGTGACACAATTATAAATCACCCAAAAAAATTACCGTACCACATAGAATAGGATATAAAATTGAACAGCAAAGTGTGAAATGTAAAACATTTCTAAAAAAAATAAACTTGTGAGTGGCCATGATATTTGCACATGATGCGCCTCACACAGCACTATAATTCTTCAAATTTTCCCAAAAAACTCAGTGACTTAGCTGCTGAAGAGGTTCACCGATTCACCGATCAAACAAGCCAGACTTGCTTGACAATTTCTTGAGAACATAGGTCTAGCAGATACGTAAGAATAGTCAACTGTGCTAATTTCAGTGGGAGCTATCTCGGTTTGCATTTAACACATTCACGACAATACGACCTATCGCTGGGTCGTACGTGTTCTGTCATTTCGGGGAACACGACTCACCGGTGGGCGTAAGCTTCCTGAAGCTCTAGCTCTGCCATTTTACGACGTAATTCTACGCTGTTCTGGCATATGACTGGGGACACCTAAGCAAAGCTCCAGCCGGAGTGGTCCGGGCTTGGGATACCGTAACATAATCTACGGTAGGGGTACCGTAGATAGATACAAATCACAGAGTTTAGCTCAAATTCCTAGCACAATGATGCTGTTTTCGGAAAATCAAGTGACATGCACGATACGGGCGGGCAAGAGGCTGATGTTAGCCCACCAAAAAATTTATTGATCGTAGATTTGTTGTATCGTTCATCCCAGGAAGCTCGAATCTTACATATATAGCTTTTGTAGCATGCTGATTACGAATATGATAGTCGCAAGTTCCAATACCACCATCTTACAGCATTTTCTTGATTTCTACGAAGGTTCCACCATATTGCTACCGTAGCTCCCACTGTGACAGGATTGAACAAAGTGGACCCTATAATTGTGATCAGCACGTAAATAACCCAAAACAGAATTCTTCATGAAAATCCATGATGCTGGTTTGTACAGGTTGACTACAGTAGTCTTAATAATGCCAAAACTGAAATAAATTATTTTTTGATATCAGCGCCTTCGATTAGGGGACTCGGAGACATGTTCTAAAAAAGAATACCATTTCGAACAATATGACCCACGGGTGGGTCGTAAGTTTGACAAAACAAAAGACCCTGGACCGAAACGGCAGTTATCGAGAAATCAGCCTTGTCGTGAATGCGTTAATGGCGCCTGCCGGATAAGCATAACATACTTTTGACCAAGTTTGTATTACTTGCCTACGTAAACACTAAAACAATACAAACGGACTGACCACAAAGCTCTATGGTTCTTATGCTTTGCCAGAACATCAAGTTATTAATTAAAGACATTTTCCCAAATGGGGGTAGTGGGATCTTGATGCAGTGCGGGAGCACGGCTCCTGGCTAATGGAACAGTTCAAGTCCGCTCGAAAAAGGTGGATTCTGAAGCGAGAAATTCGCTTCGGAAAAAAGTGGCCGTCCGCCAATCCCGTCTCCTTGACAAGTTTTGACGTGTCGAAAGCTGTAGGTTGAATGCATAAACCACGTCAAAACTTGTCAAGGGGCGGAATTGTCGGACTCCCCTTTTTTCCGCTTTTTTTCCGGAGCGATTTTCTCGCTTCAGAATCCACCTTTTTTGATCAGACTTGAATTGTTGCATTAGTCAGAAACGGTGCTCCCGCAATGCGTCAAAGTCCAACCCCCCCCCCCCCAGTTGACCTGGACAATGCCTTTAAGTGGAATTTTTTAGATGTATTGCAGTTCATCTTCTCTCCTGGTCGTAGCCTCCAGACCACCTGGGAAATGTTTGATGATTAAAAGTAGCTTCCGAGAATCTGGATTATACTCCTGCTGAAGTTGTTTGTACAATATTAATCAGTTTAGAGATATCATCGATGAAACAATGATAATAATTTAGTATTATAGATAGATGCGCGAGTAATAAGCTGTGCAATTCCACATGTGAATGTCCTTCATATCTTTTTGAAACAAACAATGGTTTTGCAAAAGAAAGTTTGCTTTTTTCTGCAGCTTTCTCCGTTTTTAAAATTTGATGCCACCATGCTTGACCATAAAGGCCAAAGCCGGCTGGAAGGTCCATGCAAATCTTTTTGTGCTCGATTCAATGGAAGTCTTATTTTGAAAAAGGTCTGTACGCGACGCATGTTACTTCACGTGATCGACAAACCTCAAATTTCAATCAGGAATGTATTTCTCCAAAGCTTATTAATGGTAGCAGTGAACAGCTTTCTATTACGCGTCTGACCCTGGCGAAAATCTTGCAAGATTCCAGCGGCCTATATTTACTCCTGTTCATCGGCGTCAAAAACATTGATTAAGATCAACTGAAGATAAATTACCTAACTGAGATAAGCAAACACAACACCTCCATTTCAGAAATTGTACAGGTTTTATTCAAAAATTCTTTTCACTTAGTCAGATGTATGTTAGGATATACAAACGACACTCATATTGAGCGAAAAAACGACCACGCTAATACCCTCACGAAGATAACTGACAAGCATTGTGTTCTTGTGTTTTTCGTGTTTCCTTTTTTGTGTTCCTACCTAGTTTTTATCAATTATGCTTTTTATTACCGAAAAAAAACAAATGTGGGGATGTAATCGCGGACCTTTGAATCGCGATTAACGACGAGCAGAAGCATCAATTTTGCGTCCTCCTATAAATGCGCCAAATCATGTTACCTTTGGGCGGTAATTATCAGTCGCATGTACATCGGGCTCATGCCCGTTCGGGAAGCTGCTGAGGAGAGGAGCAGCCAGCAGCGCAAGCGGACGCTTATCAAAAACGCCTGCTGGCGTAAACTTTGCGTAGTGCGGACACATGAAAATCCACTGTTCCTTCTTTTCTTCTGGACCTTCAGCACGGTTCTTGAATTCATAGGCACATTTAGTGATCATGTCAACAGCAGTCAGGTAGAGGGATCGGAGTGCTGAAAACAGCCAATTCGTCCCAAACATCAGTAATTCGTTGAGCAATATCATATTGTAGGACGATTCATAACACAGGGGAAAGTTTGAAATGCAGAAAATTGTGAAAAGTATAAAGAAGTCCAGTTTCTGGCTGAATGAGAACGGTACATATCAAATTGGATAAAATGGAGCTGGATCAGACGACCTATTATCGCAACCTCCCACCACTGTCATACTGTTGGACCTCACCTAGACATTGAATTGGTTCAATGGTCCAATCTGACCATGTCGGGCACGGCAGGTACAATCTCGACGATCGGGCTCTGCTGCCCGTTCAGGCCATGCAAACCGAATCAAGGGTTGGAGGCTCTTGCCTGTCCGGGCCGTGTATAACTTTGAGACGTGCCCGAACAGCTAGCGGGAGATGGATGTATGCCAAGGTGAACGATAGCTGGAAGTAAGCATACTGTAACCTGCGGTTGTCAATATGCTGCGCATGAAGTGTTACTTTTCGAAGCAAAGCGTTCTTCAATGGATTGAAAATGGTGTCGAACCGTAAGAATTACAACCCGAGTTTCTAGGGTTTTTCAGATTCTCAAATATCTAAAAAATAGAGTAAATATAAAACTCGAAATATATTTGATCTACGCAACGCACATGGCTGGCATAGGCTGTCGTTCATGTTGGTTGCCTCCCGCGGAAGATAGATGATACCGCCTCCAATGTCTCCCCTCTCCCCTCGTACTTCCCCTTGATCATCTTTCCGTCGAAGCCGCTAAATATGGCCCGAACGCTATCCTCGAAGCCAGCAATTCGCGATTTCATGCCGCTAACATCCAGTATGACATGCACTGAGGGAAACAAGAGCGTATCTCCCATGTCAGTGCACAAAAGACTGAGCAAAATTGATGCAATCTTCAGTGTTACGCAATAGTGTTGCTGAAGGTTACTGTAACCACATGGAAAAGACGATTCTCTGGCTGGTTCATTATGCCAATATTTTCGCTTGTATTTGTACGTTCACACACTTTCAATTCAGCAAATAAGTCGATTATTTGCAAAATTTGTTCAGTGGAGGCTATTTTTTTGAGACTATGCAAAGGAACTCAAGGAACATGGGGAGTTTTGGCGCTTTTTTTGTGATATCGTAACTCTTCTCCTACTTTACTGTCTCAACGACTTGATATTCAAGGAGGACTTATGTACTGTTACAGGGCACTTTGAGAGTCTGAGGCACCTTCCAGATTAAGCATGAAGCTTGTTTACAACTGGATGGCCAAAAATGTTAGTGCTGTAGATCGCATCAGCAGGTGTTTTCATGACCTGACGACCAAGAGGAGTTTGTGCCCTTCGCACTTCAGACCCGTGGTTTTCTAAGAATATCCAGAAAATTAAAGCTGTCTTTCTTTCTCAATTTCTATAGAAATTCAGTTTTCACTGAGTCAAGGAGACTGGGTAGCTCTCGTATTCGTTTTTACATTTTCCGACTACGAATAGTAACCATGGTGACTAAAGCTGTTGCGATGTTCGAATCAAGTCTAATAGTTCTGAATTTTGTCCTTGTAGACAACGCATTGTTCCGAGTTTCCAGCAAGAATGAATCCAAGCAATCAACGAATGCTTAGCTCTATCATAACTGTAGAAACATAAAGCTCTTCTCTGCCTAAACTTTAGGTGGATTTGTCAATTTGGCCAATGGCTTTCTCGAACTATGTAGTTAGGTGCCCATCACATTTTTTTTTGTTATAATCGGCTTAGCAAAAAAGTCTCTGAGTGCTACCGACATCGTAGCTATAATTAGCAGGGATTCTCATAAACCCGAAATGAAAACTCTAAGAGTTGATTCGATTCGGTCAGATTGTCCCAAATGAAAAGCGAATGAGCTACTAACACTACAAGTAATTTTATCGATCAACACATTGTTCATTGGACATTTTGAGTTCTGCATTAGCGAAAAAGGAATGAATATATGTATGTGCAATGTGAGTAATAACTTCATGATAATAAAATACCGCGAAGGAAGGACTCCAGATATACCGCTCATAATCCTTTGAAAAAACTTTGAGATTTGCGTCGTATCGTCCTATCTTGATTCAGAGTGGAAGAATTCTGTATCTAGGGGCACCATTATAGAATTTCTGCCTGTCTGGATATGGTAGGTACGCGGTGGGCAGTTAGGTTTCGGTAGCAGCGGTCTGATATGGTAGGTACGCGGTGGGCAGTCAGGTTTCGGTAGCAGCGGTATGTGTAATCAGCACACTAAATAATCTACAGTAGGCAAAATCCGGAGAGTCGTGTGAAATGACTCTTTACCGTGCACCTACCATATCCAGGCAGACACTTCCACACGAAGATGTGCGACGTTGAGCTGAAATGAACGGTGTCTCCGAAAAATTATGAGCGCTTTTATATCGCGTATTTAGAAGTTGAAGTCTAATTTGTTTTCTGCTTTTCTTTGCTGGCGTTTCTTGAAGACGAAACTGTTCGCGTTGATCGATATGCCCCACGCTTTTACTGTACTAGGCTGTTGCATAAGTTCTGTCCGATTTTTTTGCCTCATGTTTGAAGCAGCTGTTCTAAGAGAATTTCATCTCTAATTCGATACGGTTGGTATCATTGAAAAGTGCTTTCCTTGCGCTTTCTAAAGCATACCAGAATTCAATAAAATTCTTAGTGTACGGAGATCACAGGCCTAAAATCTCTAAGTGGCCGAGGTACGTTCTATCCCTAGAAATATGTCCTTGCGAGGATATCTCCACAATGCGCCCTTCAAGTCAGGTTCTTTCATTGGCTTCGGAATAAGGGTATGGAATGCTAGTATATGCAGAAGTTCGGTCCCATGAAGAATACGTCTTGCTAGTGAAATTTATCCTCGAACATAAATCTTTGGTATAGATGTTTTACAAGCAATAACTTTCTGCGAATAGAAGTAATCGACAAGCTCAAAGTTGGAGGTGCTAGGGCAAAGCAAGAGCTAACAGGGCCCATCCACCAATTCCTTTTCGGCGCTCACGTCAGTTGTAAAACGTTCGTAGTTCATAAATAGGCATGCACACATGTGCTGAAGCGAGGTCAAAAAGTGGCTAATTTTTTGTTCGGTCAAAAAAATCTCTCGGCAGCGCAAACCCTATGGGCTCTTTTATGTTGCATAATAATCTACGAAAATTTCTCTATCCATCCATTATTAGAAAAGATGCCTATCAATTTTCATAAGGGAGCGTTACCATGTCAAAAAAGACAGATTCGAAGAAAAACGCTGCGAAGTTTTTGCATTCTTGGTTCTTCCTTAACAAAGATTTGCGCAGATCTCAATATGCATTTTTTAGCCAAGGGACTGCTCAACACATAGAAACTAAGACCTTGGAAAAAAGTTGACTCTGAAAGAAGTTATGACATTTTAAACTCAAAAATTCAAATCGGACAGAACTTATGCAACAGCCTAGTAAAAAAGCATCTATCCAGCTCATCTAGAGCAATCTCATCCATCAGTTGCTTTCTTGGAATCGGAGAGGTACTTTAATAAGATCTTCGCTCTAGTATTGTAGTGCTAACAACAATACGAATGACACACTTTGAGACGCCTACATGACGTTTCGCATTTCAACATCTGCACCACATATATTTCGTAACATCACGGGTTCCTTTCGCTCGCTCATCCATCTTGAAACCATCATCACCTACGCTGTGTTCACTCTGCCGTGCCCGAATGTCTGTGGTACTTAATATTGGAGGGACGGAGTTCCGCACTCGCGATGAAACCGTGAGTAGCATAATCGACATTTTCACATCGAAGCGCAGGGTAAGTTAACTTCATTTAAGAGTCACACTACAGATACTTTTATAGGAGGAGCCCACAGGGCCAGTCCTCGTGTACTTCATTGGTCGGGATCCGACGGTGTTTGGCTATATATTGAATTTTCTGCGTGATGGAAGCGTAATTGTTCCTCGTAATGGATTCACTCTTGCGCTGATAAAGCATGAAGCGAAGGTAAGCTTGTATGTATCATACACAGATAGTAGAGAATACGTGGGTCTTGGAGGCAATGTGTCATGATAGCCGACTAACTTAGGCACCCGCGGCTGATTTTGCCTGGAGGGGCGAGCGAGAGTGGTTAGGCGAATCCCAGTAATTTGTGTTTTTTAATGTTTAATGTAGAGTCCTTGCATTTGACAACATTTATGCAGCGCTTCTCCACATCAACTGGCTCAAAGGATGAAAATGGCATCAGTTTACTAAAAGTTTCTGCGAGGGAGGGGGGAGGGGGGGGGGGGGAGAGAGGGTATTTGGTGAACTGATCACCGATTTGGTTTATTGTAATGTATTTAGAACTACCTTAGTGGATCACAAACCCTTTGCTGCTCGAATCAGATCAGGAGGTCTAATCGACTTACCAATTACGAATACTCGGGAGTTAGGCGGAGCTCGGTTGGCATACGGTAGCCGGTCAAAGTTTCATTGAAACTGTGACTGGCTACCGTATGCCAACCGAAGCTGTGTTTCATTGAAACTTGTGCAGAGGGGTTTTTGCTGGTCCGGTTGCGCCATTCAGCGGAGACGTTTTTGTGATTATCGGGGGAGGAGGGGGGGGGGGGAGATGGGGGGGGGGGAGGGGAACATCATTCCTAATTTTGAATAAGATTGAAAATTCTCCCGTATACCCTATCTCTATCGTAACCCAAGAAAATGACGCTGCTGTGCAGGATTATATTCGTGTTTAGCATGCGAGACAACCTTAGACAAAGCTTAAGCGAATTTCAAGATTTTTATTTTTGGGGTCAGCTAATGTGGAATAGTGCCATACATTATAAAAGAGTGATCTCCTTGAGTCGAACTTCCTTCGAAGCCATCTAACCACTTGGTAAATTGAGCTCTCTGTTTAGGCTTACGGCATTACAAACCTCGTGAAGAAATTGGATGCTCATGACTATCACGAATATTCTGACTATTATCACATTTAGCTGCCCATACATAGGATTCTTCAATCGGAATGAATATTCGCAGTTGTTATACCGTCCCCCTTATCCGCTCATTATCATATGCATAAATAAATACATTATCGCCTTATCCAAAATGCGCCAAGATTGAAGTTCTAAAGGAAGTGTAAACAGTTGTAGTTTTCAGTGTAAACTGGTACATAAAACTTATTGCCAACTTCTTACATTGTGGGTGAGCACAAGAAAGAGAAGCTTCATATTTCTCCAAGTTTGGCATCTGGACAAGTAAAAAAGTTTTTTTTTGGCTCTGCTCTTGCTAAGAGAGTCACTGAGTTCACTGCATGCTGAGACAACAAGTACGATTGCAAGCAGTGATCATTGATGTTCAGAGACTCTGGAAATAGTGTGCAAAACATCCGGGGTTTGGAAAGGCAATGTTCGGGCGAATTCTGGTACCTGAAGAACATATGATTGTCGTTGAGAGGCATCAACTAAGTTTCTCCAGTAACTGCTCAGGAAAACAGTTTGCGGTTATCACCCAAGTGCCGCGCAGAGTTTACTTGAGGACGTTGTTCGGTCGGGTAGGGGAACGAAAGCCGCCAGTTTGAGCCGCCTTTCGCGGCTAACTGGTCCTTTCGCAACGTTGTTGCATGTCGTCCCAGGACCAGCAGTCCGCGCAGGCGACCGAGGCTGGCGGCTTTCGTTCCCCTACCTGTTCGGTCCATTTGGAAAAAAATACGGCATGGTGAGAGTTAAATTGAATTCATCGTCCATGATTGAGTCATATAAGCTGGTGGACGACGGCTTGGCTTTCTTCCAATCATTTTTAAAATTTCTAGCGCACGGATTTGCCGGAATACTGCTCCTTGTACTTGAAAAGTTTACGGTCGATAGTGAATTTGGTAATAAAGAGCCACATACAGAGCTTATCAATTGCGGTGTCGGATACACTAGCATCTTCACTCCCGCGTGGATTCTCCACGACTTCCGCGGCCATGCTCACTCATTATATCGAATCGATTGAGGCTCCGCCTTTCCCACGCTCGCGGTGGAGAAGTGATCAGAGAGCATGTTCGCGAAAAAGGTGCAGAGTCCGGCGGGGCGAGCGCGCGGGAGCGGAGATGCTGGTGCTTCCGACACTGCAGTTAATGTGCCCTGTGGCTTTATTCTCAGGTTTAAAATGCACATTTTTTTCAAGCAGGTAGTGTAAACGGAGGCTAGGGGTTCAGCTTGGAAAATTTGGTCACAGGAGGATAAATCGTGGACTGATCATGCTTAGTCTAAAATCCGTTGAAGTTTCTGACGTATACGGTTGCGAAAGCGGCGCTCCGGCGGCGGCGTCGTGCTGCAAAGTCGATGGTGTTTAGCAACCGTTTCACTTATATGGACCGACAGTATCACATTCGACTAGAATCATTTCAGTGCCCCAACAAGTTTTTAGTGCCAACCTTTACCAGAAATTCGTGGAAAAGCAGCATCTGGCGCGCATACAGGTTCTTGCCTCTGTATCTCAGCCATTCATTGACTATGCTGACGATTTCTACCTTGGAAATGTCACTCTTGGAACTCCCGATAAGTTCGGGTTAATGAATTCACAGTTGTTTCAGGACAGCTAAAGCCCTAATTGTAACCCAGACACCGCAAGGTGACAAGGTTAGATGTACTATGGAAATGATGCAATTTCACAACGCAGTGACTAGAAAAAAATGAGCTTTCGTCAAAAGATTTACGCTGAACAAAGGTTTTCGTCAGCTATTTGCATCAAAATGGCTCTTTATGTACGTATGATGTGCGATTACATACAGTTCTTTTCTCAAAGGCGATCTCCGGCAACATGTCTGCGTTATTATTTATGGGTGAATATGGGTGCATTATTAGTATGGTGTGCAAGTGCAAAAATTTCCAATTATGAGTTTTAGTCCAGGATGAAGGCTAATGGTTTAAGGCTGCTAACATCGCTGGTGCGCAGAAAGGAACAGTAACATGCCATAAGCGCCCACGCACCGCGCCGCTACGCTTCGGACAGCCGCTTTCGTCCGGGATTAGACTGTACACACCTGATACTCTTATTTTTGTCAGAAATCCTGACTTTACAGGGCGTCCCTTTCATGCCCACATCAGCCCCTGTTCACCGTATGGATAGACAGAAAGGTGGTTTTCGCTTTTTTTTAAAATTAGTTTAAAGGTTCAGATGGGTCCAACTAAAGGATAAAGTTTGAAATTTGCAGTTCACAGTTAGCAATGGTGGGAATACCGGTTTGGTCACTTATGGAGCCACTGACACTAGGAACTGCGATGACAGCCAACTATGTCCCATTGTCCGCTGAGACCTACTGGCAATTCCCCATTGCTGGATTCTCTATCGGAAGCTTCTCTGAAACTAAGAAAGAGCGAGTGGGTATTTTTCCAAGTCTCTCAACTTTACAGCAGAAAATTTCCTGTAGGTCATTTCCGACACCGGTACCTCATGGATCGGAGCACCAGCCAGCGTCGTCAGTGGAGTCGTTAAGCAGACTGGCGCCAAGTACGACTTTGCGAATGAACTCTACACCGTCCCATGCTCGACCCAAAAAACCCAGCCCGACCTTGTTTTCACCATCAGTGGTGTTAAGTACAACATTCCCTCGGTTGAGTATGTGCTGGACTTTGGACTTGGAAATGGAAAGGTAATATACAAATCAGCAATATTATACCTTAATGAGATATCGTTCCAGTGCGCCTTGACCTTCTTCGGAATGAACTCCGCGGATTTGGCCCACCATGGATTCTTGGAGACACTTGGATCCGCACTTACTGCAACATCTACGATATTGAATCGGTTTCGTCAAGGCTTTCCATACCGGACTCTAAATATGGATCTTATTTCAACGTAGATAATAAAGAATTATACGCGAAAATGTCGGCAGTCCGCAACAACGAATAAACACCAATGCATATATCCAAAGTCCCACCACGAATACGAAATTTGAGGAAACGAAAATCATAAACAAATTACATTTAAAGCTATGATACTGTCACGGGGCGTAGAATTTAGGATTGCGAGATCTATTAGGTTGGCTAAAAAGTTCTGGGACATTTTCGAACTAGGTCTGCTATTTCTCGAAACTTAAGGCATATGCATCAGGAAGAGGCACCATTCGATAGAGCAAAGCAAGCTCTACAAGATGATATGCAAAAGCTCGCACCAGCTTCGACCCACCGTAAGTTTGCACCCAAAATCTGAGTCGTACTAAAATTCAAAAAATCGCGAAAAATTCACATCTTTGTTCAAACAAATCCTAGGGATCTCCAACTTGCTCACAAAAATTGCACACTACACCAAACACTCATATGCACCGTTGCTGTGTTTTTTCCTCATCTAGAAATCGAGAAAATGAAAATTTTCTTGTTTTCACAAAAACGAAGCTATGCTGTTCCCACTCATGTAATTATATAGTACATGCCCTTAGAAGTATAATCGTAATTTTTCAGCTTTCTACAGGCTCTAGTTTCCGAAAATTACCGAATTGAGCTCTCCTCACTCGGGCGTTCCATGCTAAAATCAATATTTTTCGACAACTAGGGCTTACGGAAAGCTGAAAAATTACGGTTATACTTCTAAGGGCTTGTACTATATAATTACATGAGTGAGAACAGCATAGCTTCGTTTTTGTGAAAACAAGAAAATTTTCATTTTCTCGATTTCTAGATGAGGAAAAAACACAGCAACGGTGCGTATGAGTGTTTGGTGTAGTGTGCAATTTTTGTGAGCAAGTTGGAGATCCGTAGGGTTTGTTTGAATAAAGATATGAATTTTTCGCGATTTTTTGAATTTTAGCACGACTCTGATTTTGGGTGCAAACTTACGGTGGGTCGAAGCTGGTGCGAACTTTTGCATACCATCTTGTAGAGCTTGCTTTGCTCTATCGAATGGTGCCTCTTCCTGATGCATATGCCTTAAGTTTCGAGAAATAGCAGACCTAGTTCGAAAATGTCCCAGAACTTTTTAGCCAACCTAATAGTTCTGATGAGCTCGATTTTTCTCAGTGACCCAGTGAAGTGTAAACAAGAGTGTTGCTGCCATTTGGAGAAAACTTTTCCTCCTGTCGTTTGAAAGGAATCTTCAATACATTAGCTTGAGAACGACACCTTGCCTACAGTGGTCCAAAGTTTTGTTGCTCATATGAGATATGAACAAGGCAAGTGTTTTTTTTTTTGTTACGAGCAGAAAATTCAGCATCCAAAAGTCCACAGATATGCACAATAAGAATTTAGAAGTGCAAACAAAACTTTTTGATATCGCCCGATCAGAGCTCAGAGCTGGTCACTATCAGCACACGGCCAGAATTTTAGTACTTCACACAAAGCCCATTCTATCGTAAATCACAAAGTGATAATATACGGCAAAAAAGGATTCAAGGATTGCGCTCCAAATTTCAATTTTTTTCCATCATGATAAAATGAAAATGTATCAAGAAGAAAATTATCACATGCTGTACATCGAGCGAAGACGCATAAAGCTTTTTAAAGAAATTTTCCATTCAGAATTTTCCACCAATATTTCTACCCTTCCCCCCCCCCCCCCATCGTCAAACGACAATCTGCCAAGCAGTAATCAACGTGCTAATTATCTTACTCCTTCACATTTCAAAAATGAGGGACCCGTCATACTTCGTCGAAAAAAAGCCCAAAAGCGCGCAAAAAAGCGCAAAAGAGCCCGAAAAAGCCGAAAAAGCCCGAAAGAGCCGGAAAGCAGAAAGAACTTATGGTAAATTCTAAACTTATCTTGATGTGCAGACGATAGGAAATGAAGCAAGACTCGGTTGCGAAACCAACAACATGCCTTAGCGTCAAAACGGAAGGGGCGTTCCAGCTTTTTTGGCTTTCTTGGGCTTTTTCGGCTTTTTCGGGTTCTTTTGGGCGCTTTTGGGCTTTCGACGAAGTATGACGGGTCCCTGAGAACTGCAGAAACCCCCCCCCCTCCCCATGCATCTGGAAGAAGTCGACCGCACTCATTTTCTGCAACTTTGGTCTTGCACGGTCATGTACCGTAGCTAGTAACTTGTTGCGAAACAGTGAGAATCGTGGTGAGTGCCATGTTTACAAACGCTGATCGCTGTGAGACCCATAATATTTCTGTTCCAGCATTGCTGTTTTGTGACTGCGTGACTTCTTTCGTTTTGTACCGCCAATAACTGGCTACTATGGTCACTAGATTTTCAACGAGGGATATGTACGATGTGGTGCTGGAAGTTGGTGGCACTCGATTCCGAACCTCTATGAAAACTGTCAAGAGAATAATCGATGGCAAGAAATTTTGGGAAAAAATTGCTAAGGTAAGGTTGTGCTTTTAACAACATTCAGAATTATTTTGCATAATTGCAGGAGTTCGATCTTTACGGCACAATTTACATTGATCGTGATCCAAAGGTATTTGGCTACATACTGAATTATCTGCGTGACGGAAGCGTAATCGTTCCTCGTGATGGATGTACTCTTGCACAGATAAAACAAGAAGCTCAGGTAAGCTTAAAATTATAGTAGTAGAGTAAATGGTCTCGACGCTTCATATGTTGCAATGGTTGAAAAAATGCTCCTTTTTCTTTTCGCACAAGTTGCGAAGACTGGCGTAGTAGAGGGAAAGGAGGGGAAGGGTTTAAGGACCTTTTATAGAGGACTCTAACTATCAGACTCCAGTGTGTTATACAATCATTCTTATAGGTGATTGGAGAGATCTTACTATTTTAGCAAATCTATAGCTAAATCTGAGCGAGAGCGACCCGTCATATTTCGCCGAAAAAAAGCCCAAAAAAGCCCAAAAAGCTCGAAAGAGCCGAAACGCCCTTCCGTTTTGAAGCTAAGGCTGCGTGCTGATTTCGCACCCGAGTCTTTTTGCTTCATTTTCTGTCGTCTGCACATCAAATTTCAGAATGCTATCGAAGTTCGTTTCTGCGTTCCGGCTCTTTCGGGGTCTTGCGGGCTTTTCGGGCTTTTGCGGGCCCTTTTGGGCTTCTGAACATGTGCAACCTTTTCAGTTCTATGGCATTACCAACCTTGTGGAGAAAGTCGATGCGATTCTGAAAGATTTTAATTCGGACTATCTCCAGATCTAGCACAAAGATGTTCGAAGAAGTGTGTGACTGGCCCATGTTGATTTGCCATTTGACAATGCCTTCAGCATTTAAAATTGTTCCATTTCATTTGCTTATTTTCACTTGTTATTAATAAATAGTCAATCGGAACCTACTCACCTTTTACATTTGCAAAAGGATGAGAGAACTTATTTATGCAATGACTTGCCGCAACATACAGTCTATTTCAACTCGAAGTAGGGGAAACATCTCACGTGGAGCAGCGCGTCCGTGTAGCTAGAGGGCCTTGCGAGCCCACTGCGCTGGTTGCTTGCCAGGCAAAAACTTAGGAGGATGAAGAGATGCAGACATGGTTCCTAGCGCGGTTTGATATACTGTAGCTTTGAAATGCGCAAACGGGTAGAGGTACGAACGCCACAAGGCGCTGCTTCTGCGGGCTGCTGGTCCTTTCGTCCTACTGTTGTACATCGTGTTGGGACCAGTAGTCCGCGGAGGCGGTGCCAAATCGAGGCGTTCGTTCCTCCACCCTGCGCAAACCATTGCGAGGAGGTCGCCCGTCAATTTAATCTCCGCCCAAACTTGGTTGAAACTTACTGTACTCATGGAGGTCATGAACTGTCAGTGACGCTGATTGGCACCGAACTTGCATCAATTAAGAGAGCTGTCCCGCACAAAGTAGCTTGCCCTCATCCTATATTACATGAAATGTGATTTTATTGTAATTTCGGACCCAAACTTCAGTAGCGACACTTGTCCAGTTGGATTGAAGCTATTCAGGGTTTTCTCTCACGGTGTTCCCGAAAATGCTGGTGGTTTCTCTTTGAATCTGAAACCTCAAATTAGATCTTATTCGAGGACGAAATCAACTCTGGAATTTGGAAGTATGATAAAACCTCATTTTTTATTTTGAAGCCCAAAATAGCAGTGCAACACATCTAACATTTTAGTCGGGTTCGGAATTAGCTTATTTTCTGAACATAGCTAACTTTTTTAAGTTTATTTCAATTCCTCCAGTTTTGCACTAAAATCTATGGAAGTTTAAGTTTCAAAAAGGAATAATTCCAAATGTTTTGAGCAAAAATAACAGAAAATTATCTTTATGTTTTGAAATTTGCAGTGAAATTTATGCTAATTCTATTAGGAAACACCATGAGGTGAAACTAGTTAATTACGAGTTTTCACCTCAGAAGGAAGTCGCTACTGAACTTTGTTTTCAAACTTTCAATAATTTTTCGGTTCCTATATTAAGGATGAGGCTACTATCATGTGCAGGACTCAGCTGTGCTAGCAAATTTGGGCGCTAGTTATCATTGCTGACAGTTCGTGACCTCCATAACTAATTTAAGGCAAGTCATTGGGTCAATAAGTTCCGTTCTAATTTGCAAAGTGCTAAACTTAAATCTGCATGTTTTTGGTACGACTGTGAGAGAAGGATAGTATTATTCGAATTTTCATTTTATTCAAGTCGGATACGAATCAAAGTGGAAAATTATTTTTTTACAAATATTCAAGCAAGTGATAAGTGCATATTCGCAGGAATAAGCGGTTAAAGTAGCACCATTTGAATGATCCTCATGACGGATACAAGCAAAGAAGGCGTTTTGGCAATCAGTCCAATCATTTGCTTGATCTAATCCAATGTTGAATACAGTTAGAAGTACTGCGCCATAGCTTGAAGCATAAACGAGCGCTGGTAACGATTGATAACAGCAAGAGAAGCAGATGCTAATGAGGGCAGAGTTTACTAGGAAAAGTATCAAAAACCTCTGTGATGAATGGCTATAGCGCATCTTATATTGCCCCATTATGCGCATTATGTGAATTTCATTGAAGTAGTAGCTAGATTTTAAATCTACACAATGCCCAAACTCACATTTCGCCGCTGGGATCATTCCTTGTCCTTCTATACAGCGCTCCAATTATAGATCACCTTAAAAATGCCGTACCACCAACACCATCTAAAACTGAATCGCAAAGTGTGAAATGTAAAACACTTCTAATAAATAAACTTGTATGTGGGTAGCAAATGAGTTGTGGTATTTGTATATGATACGCCTCACGCTGCACTATAATTCTTCAAATGTGCCCAAGAAACTCGGCGATTTCGCTTTGCTGGAAAGGTTCACCGATTCAGTAATAAAGCGAACCAAAGTGCTTGACAGTCTTTGAGAACATAGCCATAAGGGCCGGGCATACTTCACGCGATCTCGGTCGCGACGCGATTTGGCAATATTCTAACTGTCTAAATCTCATTGTAAACACATTTTAAATGTACAAAAGGTAAGGCATTATGTCAGCGTTGCATTTAAAGACTTCTGGCGACTTGCCAAATCGCGTCGCGACTGAAAGTATGCCAAATCGCGTCGCGACTGAAACTGAAACGTCGCGCATGAAGTATGCCCGGCCCTTTAGCAAATACGTAAGGATAGTAAACTGTGCTAATTTCAGTGGGAGGTATCTTGGTTTGCATTTAACAAATTGACAACGACGCCTAATTTTGCATGGCGACGCTGTGGGAGACGCGATTTTGCACAACGCTTTCGGTGTGAGAAGGTTTTGTGCTTATTTACGAAATGCAGGGTTGTTTTGTAAACAACTACAACATCTTCTTGAACGACAGAGCCACAGAACCCAAGAGTGCAAAAAATTGGAAATCATATCAATCGTGGAAAAAATACTAGACCTACAAATAATATGACATTGGAAGAGGCGTGGGCCACCGGTGGTTCACATCGTTATTACTGTTAATGCCGCCACCACCAGTTAGCACTGCCGAACAAGCATAACATACTTTTAGTTTATATTACTATGCTTATGTAAACGCTAAAACAATACAATGACAGAAAGACCACGGAGCTCTGTGGTTCTTATGCGTTGTCAGAACATCAAGTTGTAAAGTGGAACTTTTTAGATGTATTGCAATTCATCTTCTCTTCTGGTCGTGGCCCATTAGCATCTTCCGTGAGAGATGTTAGATGATCAAAAGTCACTCCCGAGGATCTGGATCATATTCTTGCTGAAGTTTGTACAATATTATTCAGTTTAGGGATAACATCAATGAATGATAATAATTTAGTAAATAGATGCGCGAGTAATAAGCTGTGCGATTCCACATGTGAATGCTCATTATATATTTTTGTTCAAGTAAACAGTGGCTTTCCAAAAAAAGCTTGCTATTTTCTACAACTTCCTCCGTTCATCCGTAGACTCTTGATGCCACCATGCTTAGCCAAAGGCGTCTGGAAAGTCCATGAAAATCTTCTTGCGCTTGATTTAATAAAAGTTTCAATTCAAGAAAACCTTGTACGCGACGCTTGCTGCTTCACGTAATCGAGAATTCTAAGATTTTAATGTATTTTTGCAAAGCTTATTCATGGCTGCAATGACCACTCAGACAGCGGATAGGACCCCTTCGCCGGAGAAATGGCAGGGTCGCGGCGTTTCCCCACTCAGACATTCGCCGTTGTCACCCGCAGGTTAAAATGATGTGATCTCGTTGACCAACTGCGCGTCACACGAAATCGTTGTCGGGGCAAAATCAGGTCACCTGTGTTTGCATCGGGGCAACAGTGCGGGGCATTCTCCGGTCATTATCGGGGTGACCTGCGGGAAACATCATAATGCCCCGATCCTTGTTTCAAGCTGTGGTTCACCTTCGTAAGTATGTATATATATAAATATATATATAGCGTAAGTATACATACTAGTGGAAGAAACAGTTATATAGTGCATACTCTATACTTGTATGTTTCACTTTTACCATGCTGTCTTCTTTCACTGTCACTTACAAATCATGCTATAGTATTTATTCGAAACTACATGGTAGAGAAAATCTAAATCAACGCAAAAATAAATGAGCTATATCGAGAAGACACTTTACAAAAAACAACTGGAATTGCATTAGAATGTGTCGTTCACATCCATTTCCTCGACTGCAATGTCGGCGGATTCCGTTTTTTCAATAACGTTCATGTCAGTGCTCACGGCGGTAGATGTCATGATGCGCTTCTTCTGAAAAACATCAGCATCAACGGCGTAGGCTTCTAAGGACGAAAAGTGTACCTTTGACGGCAGGAGAGTTCCTCGGTCAGCATCAAGATGGTACGCACGCACATCCGTTCTAAATAGGTATGATGGTCAATTGTCACCTTTGCTTTAGACTGATGTAACTCACAGTGCTCTTCCCATGGCTATGCGTGTGCGTCCAATCCAAGTCATCCGTGCTTCCAAGAGATCGTCGTAAATTCGTCTGCGTTCCTCGTTGTTCTCAGCCAGGTTCAACCACCACCTAAATTTGTAGTGCATGGAAGGCCTTTTGAAAGTGGACTTACCTGTTTAGATTGCGTTCGTATTCGGATGCAGTTTGTAGAAGTTCGCTGTCCGGGAGGCCCAAAGCGTCCAGTACACACCCTGAATAATTTATTCCAATCGTTATACAAAATTTATGCAACAACCTACTTATTAGGAAATCTACAATGCTTTCCGGGAGATCCTTGAGGTTGTCATTTTTCCCTTTTTTGCCAGTTTGCCTACATGCATATTTCTGAATTTCCTCCACCGGTTCACAAGCCTAAATACTTATGTGTAAGGCAAGATTTCATTTAGCAGTGATCACTTACATTGACGAAATAGTACCTAAGGAAATCGAGAACATGCAGAAAATGATCATGTTTATGCGCGCGAGCAGGTTTCTTCCATTTTTCTAAGACCCCAGTCATATTCAGCTCCTAAATATACGATGTCTTTCGTTTATCCATTTGATATTCAAGAACTTCAAACGGTGGGGATGCTTGGAATTGCCAGTTTTTTGAGATGTTGCTCCTTTTGAAACTATATCCCTTTGGCAAGGTTTTTTCCTTATTTCTCGCTATGTGGTAGAAGTCCTCTTCATTTCCTTATCCTGATCTTTCTGTTTTGTAAAAAGAATATTCATCTGAAAAACTGTCGTTAAATCTTTCTCAGATCTTATCGTCCACTCCACAGATCTTGCTACCCTTGTGGCGTCGCGGACGTGCCACGTG